TAATATTATCTCTACAGCGGTACGCCACGCTGTCGACGTCGTGTTATATTGCCCCTTGTGAATTTCGGTCTCGATGTTACGTTCGCTCTCTCTTCCTCTCTCTCTCTCTCTCTCTCTCTTCCTCTCAATCCCTCTCTCTCTCTTCCACTCAATCCCTCTCGCCCACCTTTACCGCTCTGTCTTCCTCTCCGTCTCCCTCGCCCCTTGTGTGCTCGTGCTCTTTCCACTCCTCTTGCTATTGCTCGCTATTTCATTTTGTCTCGTTGCTGCTTTATAGTACACAACGGTGACTTCCTTATTTACACATCGCGCGATGCTCAATCGTGACGGGCGCACGCATCTATTTTCAAACATTTATTTGGACACTAATTTTTAATTAGCGCTGACTTTTAACATTTTGAATGTTTATTAAGGAACACATATTAATTGCTAATTCATCATTTTTCATAAAATATTTATATCATAAAAGCATTTTTCACTAAGCGATCAAGTAAATTAATTATTCTGGAATCTAACGAATTTCATTATCGTATACCTTAGATTATGCATTTATGATGTAATCTTTTACAAAAACGTGGATGCAAAAGGCGAATTAACTTCAGATCATTTTTATTATTTCTGTAAAACTGTTATAAATTGCGTAATTGCGATTAAAAGTCAGATCTTTCTTTCATAAGAGAATTTTTATATTGTACGCATGGGTTTTGATGATATATAATAGCCATTTTTGTGAAAATAATGTAATATTACTGTCAAAAACAAAAGAAAAAAAAATTATATCGAAGAGACGACTTTAACGATAATGTCATTAAGTGGACAAGATATTATACGCATAATTTATTCATAATGGCTAATGACAAATACGTGAACGAAATTTCAAATAAGATACGTTTATACATTCGTTTAAAAGTGAACCATGAGGAATGCGTATAAATAAATCAGGATATTAAATTATATAAAATGAATAAAGGACATTTTTTGGTCTTTACATAATGAAATTCAATATAATTGAGCAATCTTTGAAATCATATTATTCGTCATTGTAGTGTTGTATGATTTTCGTCTTTTAAAAATATCAATCAACTATTTATTATTTTATCACACGCGACGTGTTTCAAATTTCATGAGTGAAAGAGTAACTTTATGTTTAAAAATTATAGATAAATATTGAATTTAAAGATCTGATGATTATATCATTTTTTATTTATTGCCAAACATTGAAATATTTTATGAAAAAAAAAGGTTTGTGATTCAATTTTTATTTTACGATATTTTTGAAAAATATTATTGATCACAAATTGATGAATGAACGTAATTTTCAGTATATATGTTTTTAAAAAAAATATATATATTGTTTATTGTGTACATATTGTGTCAAGTTTTATTGATTTAACGTCAAATTTCGTATTTATTTATTTATTTCAAATGTAAAGAAATACAAATTTCACTTTTACTTACATAAAGTATAACTTATCTGTAAGGATGGAATGTATAAAACTACAAAAATTCATTTTCATTGTTCATCAATCTGTCGAACTTACTCGTACTCTACAGAATTTATTAATTTTATTAAATTTTATGAAAAACTATCATACCGCAATTTGTGTGAGTGGTAGTGCATATGTAGTCACATGCACATATCCACACTTTATATTATTTATATATATATAATATTTATTATATATATTATATATTATATTATATATAATATATTATATATAATATATATATATATATATATATATATATATATATATATATATATATATATATATAAACAGCGTTTTACATTTAAGCTTATGTTGTAATTAATAATAGTATTAATAATAATAGTAATAATAATAATAATTATTATTATTATTATTATAATAAAATGGTTCTTATGCACTTAAAGACTCTTTAGATTTTTTGAAAAATATTATTTAAGGGACGATCGAAATTGTTTAATTGTTAAACAATACTTCTTTTTATTAAAATTAAGTAGAAAATATTCAGATATGAATGAGATGAAATGTTCGAGACTGAAAGGATTTCAGTCGCTTTGTTAAAATGTGCAATTATAATGACGTGGGTGCGTCGCTATTGTCTAGCGAGAACGGCGAAACATTTTCGCATTGAAGATGTTTTTATCCGAGCTTTTTGATAGAAATAATTATAATTTCTAGTGTACTTTATAAGTCCCGTTTTTAAATATTATTTTATGCTATCGTGTATATTTGTTTGCTTTTTATCTAACGAGATTATCAAATTTGGATCGTCTAATATTTACATTTAAAAATGATTTTAAATATTACTTTAAGAAATAATAGTATTATATTTCCAAGGATTTTATGAATGACTTCAATTTCCAATGATGAATGTATGAGAGTATTAGCATTATTATGTATAAGTGTGTCAATAAACGAAGAAACTAAATTAATAATGATTTATTACAAAAAAGAAATAATGTTCCTATGGGTGCATATATTTTTTATAGAATTTCGAGCGTGTGTGCAGGAAATCAAAGTCACTGCCTTGAACGAGCGAGCGAAATGATGCTTACGACTTACCACAAGTACAATTGATAATGTAACACCGAGCAATAGATCACACGCTTCGTCGTAAATATTAGAGTACCATAATTCGCTTTTGCGAAATATCACGAGATCCATTGTTCCTGTTTATGCTTTATCCGTAAAATCTTAATGACCTTTCAGCATTTATCGATACTTGGGGCGAGCGCCATTTACACTTCGTTTCACAGCTAAATTCTTAAGCGATAAGTACCCGGGAGCCATTCCACGGGCGCCTAATGAAAAAACATTCGGAAAAAGCAGCGATCGAAGAGTCTCGTGAACGTCAATCGGCAGCCCATAGATCACACGAGCTACTCTCGCATCGCGGAAGAAGACCTGCGCTCGAGTGTTTCCAGTCTCCTGAAAATTTATGGCTCTATTATTGAATACCGTTGGCGCATATTGCCATGGGGCAAGTATCGCCAAGCATGGGAGCGCCGGTAGCTAAAACTATTCCCTTCGACATCATTTTTCGTGTATGCAGGGTGGAGGTATCCTTTTATGATCTCTCACCAATATACACGCACACACACACACGCTCGCTGAAATTGTACCTCGCAGTCCATGCTGCGCCCGCTTATCATTATTCATAGCAATAATCGTCATTATAAGAAAGCTATAGCACTTTCTTGCTGTCTTTATCTCTTTTATATCATTGAGCTCTCGGTGTGTTTCTCGTACTTTATTTCTGATCGGATAATGGCGAAACAAAGCTCGCACGGAGCTAAAAGTTATAGCTTAACAACTTTAGTAAAACATAAGTATAAGAACAATAATCGTTGTTGGTGCTAATATTTTGGATACGTTTGAGCGATATGATATTTTATAGATTCATTATATTATTAATGTTATTATTATTATTATTATTATTATTATTATTATTATTATTATTATTATTATTATTATTATTATTATTATTATTATTATTATTATTATTTTAATTAATTTATTATGAGTCAAAGAGCGTGGCACGTTATTTAATAAAGTTTTAAAGTTTATACGAATATAAAAGGATATAAAAATATATCGTGAAAAATTATAAAGTTTTTTCTTATATTACAAAGAGTTTTTGCTTAAGGTGTACAAATATTCTAAACAGAAAGATAATATTAAATTAGCTGTGATTTAATAAACATATAAGAAGTATAAGTGCATAAAAATCCAATATAATTTTTAAAGTTTATATTTGTTAAAATGCTAGTTTTCATTACTTGTTTTTGTTTTCTTTCAATTCTATAAGTTGAAATTAATTTTCGTATTTATATTTTATCAATTGTATATTTTAATTAAAAAGTGATAGTATTTCTGAATTTGAAAACAAATGTACCAATAACGTATAATAAAGCAAATAAACGAGAAGAATCTTATGAATTTGTGAAAGTATATTTATTATTTTTCGATACTTTGTTAGAATTTTTGTTTTCTAGTTTCGGTATTCTAGCAGTTTTGGTACACAGGTGGAAAAAAATACCATTTAAATGAATAATTTGCTAAACAATTATAGTCATTATAAATATATCTATTTCATCGGCACAAAATATTTGACGCTGTTACTCTCATAAAAAAAAAAAAAAAAAAAAAAATCGTCGAGAATTGATAAGTATCTTAAGGGTAAATTGGTATCTTAAAGAAAATCGATGAAATGTATGAACGTATGAATTATTAATCATTATTATATTGCTAACTTTTAATATGATATTTTTAATACGATGTTTATTAATCGTATCGGGTCGTAAATCATAATTAATTTGTATAATTATAAAATCGGAATCAGATTGCCTCTATAATAATTGAACATTTAAAATGCAAAAGTGGCGTTATTTTATTGCACATTTCAGTCATGTTGCGTAACATAAAAAAAAATCATTCGCATTGATTGGTACTTGAGGAATACTTTTTATCAGCCGTATAAGTAAATGATATTACATGTCGTTGTCCATGCACAGATTTAAGATGTTAGCTGATTTAAATTAGTTTTTATTAAGGACAACGTTTAAATTAACAGTTCCTAAAGTTTTCCATTTAAGTCATATAATTTTTAACATTCCAATACTCTTACATAATTTTTTTCTTAAAAGAATTTTGTTTCGTTTTGTTTCATTGTAATAATACGACAGAAGCTCAATACAAAAAGATTTCCTAAGCAATGTTTGAATTAAAATAAAAATTTAATATGTTTAGTCATTAACAACCATTAAATAATCGCGCGTCTCAACTAGCCATAACCATTGACATACCATTGAACTTTAACATTTAATAAGAGGATGAAAAATAATAAAGACTATGGATACCAAGTAAATTTAAACCTAATAAATTTGCAATGGGCGGCTTTGGGGAAAAATTGGATAGCAGCAGCCAGATTTGGCAAGGCTTTATGCTTATACAGGGTAGCCTGGTATTCCGAGGTACTCCTTAGTCAATAAACGGATTGTCTTTGTTTCACAGGTGAACGTGGCATGCGTCACGACTTGTTCCTGAGCGATGCACCGGGATCGGAGAAGCGCCAGCGCAGCGACGCCGAGGAACGTCGTCCGAGACGGCAAAAACGTCCGAAAAAATCGCAGCAGCAGAAGCAGCAACGAAGGAAGCAGCCGGGGATGGCCAAGCTAAACGATACCTTCGCCGCGATCCTCGATACGAGTTGCTATGGGAAGCTAAGAGCCGGGAAGCCACCGGTGAAGCCGCCCGTTGTCACTAATGCACTATCGTCGAAGCTCGTCAGGTTGTTTGTCCTTTTTATTTTATTTTTAGTGGAAACGCATGTTACACAGCGATAGCTGGTAGATTACGTCGTCGTCGTCGTCGGCTTAATTAGCATGTCAATTGCCGTTCCCACATGGCTACATGAATTATGAACTGTTATGAAATTAACGTTTCTGTTTATATAAATGATGGTGATTGACGTTAATTTTAACTTGATTTTAAGTTTTGTCAGAAATAAAGTGACGCAGAGGCTTAGTATTGAATATAATTTATGGAGCTTCGATTTAATCTTCGTTCATTTGTTTTCATTATATTGATTTTATAAAATGATAAAATCTTATGAGATGAAGGTTTTTATTTAATGTGCGTTTGTCTAAATGTCATTTAAATTAATACAATGATTTTTCATAATCATCGCATGACTGATTTAACGAAGATTTATTTATAAGTGATCTCAGCCAAATTAAACTGGGGCGTATTCTTACTTCAAATGTATTATTATTATTATTATTATTATTATTATTATTATTATATGTCAGTACTTTAAATATTATCAGAATTTAAAATTATTCCTTAATTAATTATTTAAACCCTTTCTTTTTCATTTTTAAATGTTTTTATAATTTTCAATAAAATATGCAAATTGAATTCTTTATTAACCTTTCACATTTTTTATTTATTTTTAATATTACTTCTTTGTAATATTCAAATTAAACTAATAATCAATAAAAAATTAATTTCATTAATAAATACCTTAATATAAATCATTAAATTAGCGATAAAAATAAATTCCCAAGCACATATCGTTAAAGTCTTTTATGAAATTTTAATAATAATACATAACTCATACTGAATCAATAGATTTTTATTTACAAAGGTATTAGTTTGACTTTTAAATAACAAATGTAGTGAAGCTTGAAGTGAAGCCGAATGTGTTTGTCGAAATCTATTGTATAAACAATTTATCTCGTTAATTTTGTGTATAATTTCTAAATACAGAAATGAAATGTAAAAAGATGAAAAAATGTATTCACAGTAAAGACGTACATAATAATAAATTAAATTCAAAATAATAAAAACTACAAAATAAATATTTGAACGGCATTTAATGTAATCATAAATTAAGTTGTCAAATATTAATAAATATCATATAATATTTTAATGTTACGTTTGACTTATTTTCATTGTTTTTGTATATCAGTTCTCTCTCTCTCTCTCTCTATCACTTTTTTTCTGTCCGTTTTACAGGCAAAATAATTTTCATTGGTAAAAGTAACTTTTTTTTTTAATTTTTAAAGAACATAAATGTTAATTTTTATTTTAAAGTCTTTGGTACTTGAATGCATATTTTACATCATTATTAGTTTTTAATTTTAAATTATAAAATTACTTTTATAATTTTTTATAATAAAATGAATATCATTAGACAGATATCCTTAATGAAGATATAGCGCTTATATTTTTTATTAGTTCCAAAATTTTGTGGGTTAATTGACTTGAATTAGATAGGATAAACTCAAAATGAGTATATAATTTATTTCATTTATTTATATTTTTAATTGTAGATATAATAGGTGTATATTTATATTATATGTTTATATGTGAATTAATTTGTGAAAGTCAATAGATAATTTATTGTTAATTCTGAGATCATCATATATTGGAGTTTTTATAATATTAAAGCGAATTTATACGATTAATAATTATGTTTACTGATTGGTTTAGTGAATATTGTCAATGTATTTAATGGATACAATAAAAATATAAAAATAAAATTGAACTAAAACTATCGAATTTCTTCAGAGGTGTTTTAAGCGGTGTGAATAAAAAAATTAGCCCATGTTCATGTTAGCAGTCAATTATTTTTAATATAATAAAATTTTGATATTTTTGAAAAATCTTCATAGAATCTTATATAAAATAAATAAATAAATAAATAAATAAATAAATAAATAAATAAATAAATAAATAAATAAATAAATATATATATATATATATATATATATTAAAAATTTACAATATATTTTTTTGTTTATTTATAGACTACAAAATCAATAGAAGCAATTAGAGTGTTATTAAATTTTTAAAACTCTTCAATGTAGATATTGTCGTAGTGTGATGTATGAATGTTTTATTTCTACTTGAAAAACATATTATTATTAAAAATTCAAACGTATATTAATAAAATTATTCAATGCTGATATATATTTTCGAGTTAAAGAAAGGGACCTTTAAAGAAAAAAATGAAACAGAAAGTATTTTATTACATATTTGTCTTTTATTTTTATTTTTCTTCCTTTAGAAAAAACTCGATGCCTCCACTGAATCGATACCAGATGGTGGTTTACGACTGCGACGAGGGATTCGCGTTGAAAAATTCTGAGCAAAATCGACTCTATTGTAGCGAAAGTGCGTGGCTTGGTATTGTTCCCGAATGTGTAAAAAAAAATGGTGAGTATTCCATTAATTGGATATATATATATATATACGTATGTATTTTTTTTTCTTAAGTAATTTACATTTGTATATCAAATTCTATTTCTCGATCGATTTTCAGGCATTTACAATCAATTTGATTCCTAGAAATAGATGCGCATTCTTAATAATTACAATCATCTAGCATCTGCGTATTTTATGGTCCATCTAATTTATCTATTTTATTTAATTCAATTCGAAAGTTATAAAGACAATAATGTTAACTTTTCTGTAAAATATAAATGTACTTAATTCATAAGTATTATTATTATCATTATTAAATTATAACATTTAATCGTAATATTAGGCGTAATTATTATTTTTCGAATTATTCGCTATACTTGGACCATTGAATTTATATTAAAGCGAAATGTATGAAAAATTTCATGTAATTAAAATAATATTGAAAATTCTTTGCACGTAGTACATGCTTCTACAGTAATTACATTCGCTTTAAATTTTACTTCTGTACGTTTAATAAATTTGATTTGATATAGAGTAAAGTAGAAAAAAAAATATTAACGTATACCGAACGTGTTAACTATTCTCTTTTGTTGCAATAAAGTTATTTAATGTCATGGAGAAACTTTTGCCCGAAAAGCTGATTATCGTACTTAATGTAATCGGTTTGCCCGAGTTCATGATGGTTTTCGGCCAACATTGGAATACACGCGGCAAAATGTTTGAAATATAAATGCAAAGTCGGATTAGCCGATATTTCCGGCATCCTTGAGTTGACATTCCTGTATGTCATTTCAGAGCTCTTGAAAGTCGAGGGCGAGAGTATCGTTAAAGCAAGTATCAGGAGATGCGAAAGCGAGAAGAATATTTGCGAGCAAGTGTGCATGGATGTCGAGGATGGCATAAGATGTTCCTGCTTTGATGGTTATCGTCTGGAGGGCTCCTCTTGCCTTGGTGAGATACATACTTGTTCTAATTGTGATATTTACTTATTCTAAAGTTTGTGTTCCCCTTGCAATCGATAATTTGCGTAATTTACACACGTCACGCTACTTAAATCTACATTCATCGGTCCATAATTTTTTAGATATTTAGGTAAAGTAGCTATAACTATATGTGCACATATGCACGCACGACACCCACGCGCACAAACACACGCACGTAGAATACATAAGGGCATTTCGCAATAAACGATTAGATATGGAGTTCTTCACACATCTTGCCAAAACCAAATAATAATCTACAGATCTTAATTTGGCTTAATTCGTATATTATTATAAAACTCAGGTAAGCTCCGACTCCGACTTACGACAAATACATTTGCATAACAATACATTATTAAATCGAGAAAGTCGGAATCTTGAGAATACGTGACAAATTTCCGATAATTGTCAGCGCACAATTATTCCTGCCCTTCGCTCCTCCGAGTCTCCATTGCAACTTTCAGTCAACATCGACGTCTGGCTTCAATCTATTTGCGCGCTCCGAATAAACTCGCCGCAAAAAACTACATCAAGCCCCATGGATTTTATTCTCGCGCCGGAACTTTCTTCGAAAATAGAAGAAGAACCAAGAGCGATTCGTCAATCGGCATTAAGGAGCCGAGTCGACGCGAGCCACGTCCCGATAGAATCACCTCATTTGTGTAAACACGAGAGCCTGGCGGCGCCAAAGTCCCCGCACACCTTTCCACGAGTGCAATCCAAGAAGAGACGACCCCCCTCCCCACCCACCCACCCACTCACCCACTCACCCACTCGCCTTATTCTCTTTCTCTCTTGGATTATCAGCCGTGGATCCCGAGCGCGGAAGTCCCATTGTTTCGTAGAGCTGGCGATGCGCGACGATCCGCCCTGGGACGATGATTCCGAGGTAGGAAGATTCCAATCGGGAAAAGTAATCAGAGCCAATGGCCGTCGGCTCCATATTGTTACAATCGATCGCCAAATTAAGCGTTCTCTCGTTGCATGTACGAGGACTCTTGCAATGATAGTACGTCGCGATTTTCATAGGAAATACATTTTCTGACGTGGCTTCTCATTCACAGCCATACTTTCATTCTTACCAATATCGTTCCATCATGTCGTTAATGTCAATTATCTTTTTATAAAATAGCGTGTTGTGAAAGGGATAGTGAAATTGCCAGGCTACGACTTTTATCGCTTATGGAATTTTCCATTAGGATTTTATTATATGCCTGATGAGCTTGAAAAATGTCAATTTAACGTTTAATCCTTACGTTTTTATTATTTTCAGACACATCATTGCTCATATTGTTGTCTTACCCTACCTAATTTGTTACTTCAAACTTGCCTTAAAAATACGCCAATATTTTTTAAAATGTATCGCTCGGACTTTTCAATATAAACAGTTTATAAAGATATTTCAAGTACGACGTGCCTTATTGCTTGTCGAATAAATGTGGTGAGGAAATGTTGCCGCGTGTCCATGGTCGTCGTTACAAAAACGGATAAATTATACAACGTTGTGCATTAAATCAAACGACTTTGCTAAAATGCACTTTGCAAAGGTATTAGCAGAAAACAGGAGGCTTAAAGCATCAGGTTTAGTATTAACGAAAGAATGCGTGTTCCGTGGGTGGATGTTGCAAAAAGCGTGAAAAGCTGCTGTTGAACGAGAGAGAAATTTTTGTCCGCGTAATGTAACGAGGCAAAGCGTGCGCATTACAGTTAAAATCCGTGACGATAGCGAGAACTAACGAGAATTAACGTACATTGTGAGTATTCGCATCCATTGAGGCGTAAGAAATCCGACAACTTTCCAATGCGAATGTTAAAAATTTTCGAATTTCAAAGAGGCTGATCAAAGACGTCAATTTTGTTCGATACTGAAACGGATTTACAGGTGGTTTATTCTTGCATTGGAAATTTCTATTTTCTCGAAAAATATCGAGCATGAGGAGATCATTGTAAGGCATTTGATGTAAATCTGTCGAGATTATTTCGAATGATAACATAATATATTGCATTTAATATTTTAAAGAATAGTCACAGTTTGTCAAAGGATATATTTTTAATTCATTGCACGGCTAACGCATCAATTATATTATTACAAAATAAATGAAAAGTAATGACTGTTAAATTGATCATTTACAGTTCTTTGCAAAAATGTTTAAGATATCTTTAAATTAAATTTAAATATAAATGCATACTAAGTACTCGAGTTGGATTTACGATGTGTGTGTGCGCGCGCGCTCGTGTATTTTGTATAATGCATTGTTAATTTACATATCATATCATTATTTAATTAAATATTTAAATTAAAATACTCAGAGTTAACCATTAATGCTTATGTATTAATGTGATTGGAAAGTGATAATACAAGAATAAAATACAATATTCTACAACTTTAATAGAAATATTAATATTGACTTTTATTTAAAAATAATTAAAAAAAAAAAAAAAAAAAAAAAAAAAAAAAAAAAAAGAAAAGAAAAGAAAAGAAAGATAATATAGATTGTAAAAAAATACAAAAATTCAGAATAAATATTTCATATTATTGTAGTTGCATTAAAGTTGGGATAAACATTGGAATTAATATTTTATTCACTTTTTTTTTTATTTTTGCTATTGAAACGTAGTCTGCCTTTTACAATTTTTATATCCGCTGAACGTACTTTATTAAAAGTATTTTTTATCCGACATAAATTTTATTATTGAAAATCTTTTAAAGTGAATTTAGAATTTGACATAATAATATTTTTTCATTTTTGCATTTTTTATTATTTTTTTTTTATTGCTTTCTATAAAGTGCACTCATATTTTTAAATATAATTGACTTGAATCCCAAAGTCGCATATTAAAAACTTTTAGCATTTTCATCAGATATATGCAGCATGGCAGTACTACAGTGTACACATGAGTATATGAAATTACAGCAATTAAATGATAAAATCAAATTGGGAGCTACGAAGAATCATAATGGGCACAGAACATTAGGATTACCGTCAGAAATATTATTTGCTAAAAATTGAATTACAGGCGAATGTAGTTTTATGGAAGGCAAGCTTGCGGTAATATTCCGTCTTTATCTATCTTGTACATCGTATGTTGCAGATATCAACGAGTGTGCCGAGGGTACATCTGGATGCTCGGATATTTGTCGAAACAATCCGGGTTCTTTCCACTGCGATTGTTCTTCCGGATACCAATTGGACAATGACCATAAATCATGCAAAGGTTCATTAATATTTATCATTTGAATAAAATAATCCATACAATAATTTAATCCATCTAAAGATAAACGAAGGCCGTCTAATTATTTTTATATCGTAATAATACAATTATTAATTGCAATTTTACAGATGTATAGCTCGAGATAATAGCTGATATCAATATTACGACAAAGTCAATTATGTCTCCTTTATACGCCACATTCCATTTACATTATTAACATTACATTTACTAATTATTAGAAATTAGTGGATTAATCAATTAAATAAATGAAAAGCAAGCGTTTCTTAAATAACATTACCCAACGTCCACGACAATTTCATTCAAACACGACACATTAATTTAACATATCAATACCGAGAGAAACAATAAAATTCAAGAAATATCATTTATTCTACCGCTGTAGCAGAATATTAAAACATCGATTAAAACAGCGAGCTTTCATTATAAAAAATTCATTCCCTACCTTCGCGCAATTCCTTCAGCGACAGCTGCCAATTGCGTATGAGCTAATATTTACGATATTTAATAATTAATTTTATCCCCCCTCCCTTCCCAACCCATTCATCCCTCCACAAAACACTCAATTTATCATATCCCTTAACGACCTTAAAATCATCGTATTTTTCCGTGCAGATATCGATGAGTGTGTGCCGAATGGCGGTCACGGGCCATGCGAGCGGATATGTAACAATCTGCCAGGCAGTTATGAGTGCAGCTGCAGCGACGTTCCGGGTTATAAATTGACGTCGGACAATCGCACTTGCGAGGATGTGAACGAATGCGCAGAAAACAATGCTGGATGCTCGCATACCTGTGTCAATACTTCCGGCAGTGCTTTCTGTCTCTGTCCGAAAGGGTTGTTCCTGGGTGACGATTACAAAACGTGCCAAGGTGTGTCTTTTCGAACAACCACATTTGCATACGAGATTTTTCACGTTTTCTTAAAGCACATTAATAGCAAGCTATAATCGCTTCGATTTGCCAAGTTTGTTTTTGTATGAAATGTTACTTCGCACTCTGCGATTATCTGAACGTAATTCAAAGTTCATATTTCACGAATTTTCATTACAATTATGAGTTATTGATGTTGCATGAATTAATATTTCTTTTCGTATAAAGAGCTTAAGTATATATAGTTAAGATTTAAGCTATGATTATACAATAGTAAATATATAAGATACTACCAAGTAAATTCATGGAATTTTCACTTGTTCGGCATTACATTGGTTGCATTACAAATGTAACGCTATTATTTTCACAGATATTGACGAGTGTAAGGAAACGAAATCGCCGTGCAAGGAGAAATTGGAAGAGTGCGTTAACACCAATGGCTCTTTCAAATGCGTTACAAAATTAAGGAAGAAAACGAAATTACTACCAGAGGAAGATTACGATGCCGAGGGTGACGACGACGACGACGACGACGACGACGACGACGACGAAGATGATTATGAAGAAGGTGGCATAACTGAGCCGTCGGTCGATGAATCATGTGAAATAGGATATAAGAAAGACGATAAGGGTGTGTGCATTGGTAAGTGATGTGATTTTTCCTTTTTTTTTTCCTTTGAAATAATTGCCAAATAGTGACTTTTATTTCTTCGCGTTTGCCCAGTAATGAATGGCTGAAATTTATTGGCAATTCGAATAGCATTTATTGACACAACGGTTGCACAAAACTGCATAATGAAAAATAAAATTATTTTACTTCCCGTAGATATTAACGAGTGCGACGAAGATAATGGGGAGAGCCACGGTTGCGATCACAAATGCACAAATTTGGCCGGCAGTTATTTCTGTGAATGCAATGCTGGTTACGAGCTCGACGACGACACGACTACATGCACCGATATAAACGAGTGCCTGAATAATCCAAGCCTATGCTCGCACATTTGCAAAAATACCGACGGCTCTTACGTCTGCTTGTGTCCAGATGGATTTGTTTTAAATGCCAATAATTCCGTTTGCCATAGCGTAAAAGCTCCGACGAGCTGTGAGAATTTGGTGACATCTTGCTCGCACGAGTGCCGAGTATTCGTTGACGGACCGCGTTGCGTTTGTCCTGACGGTTACGAGCTCGACAATGATAACGTCACTTGCGTCGACGTTAATGAATGCTTGCAGAAAAGTAACGGATGTAGCGAGGAATGCATCAATGAAATTGGAAGTTACAAATGCATATGTCCAATGGGCTGGTTCCTTAAAGAAGATAATAAATCATGCGAAGATATCAACGAATGCATCGGTGATAATTACTGTGCTTACAAGTGCACGAATACTCGTGGCTCGTATCGTTGCGACTGCCCCTCTGGTTTCATTTTAAGCGACGATGGTAGAAATTGCGAGGATATTAACGAATGCGCTCGGGGTGTCCACGAATGCTCCCATAGTTGCCACAATATAAACGGCACTTACACTTGCTCATGTCCAATCGGCATGTCTCTAATGAAGAATCTCAAGACTTGCGAGCCGCTCGCGTCTTGCGAAGCCGTAAATTGTTCCTATAATTGTGTCGAGGAAGGTGACACTTATCGCTGCGAGTGTGCCGTCGGTTACGCGCTGAAACACGATGGTAGCACTTGCGAAGATTTTGACGAGTGCACGAAGAACGAGCACGACTGTTCACACTTGTGCTTTAATACGCCAGGCAGTTATAAATGCGCCTGTCCCAATGATATGAAACTTTTAGCGGATGGAGTTACTTGCGCTGGCGATAAATGCCAGGAGGGTACGAAGCTCGATGAAAACGGCAAATGCCAAGATATCGACGAATGCCTCGAGACTGAGCATAAGTGCTCGCACACCTGCATCAATCTCCCGGGCTCTTATCGATGCGACTGTCCTGCCGATTTAATTCTCGACATTGACGGCTTTATTTGCCGAACCTCGGATATATGTACTAATGCCACGTGCTCGCAACTGTGCATTCCGACAAATTCTGGCTACGAGTGCGAATGCAATACTGGCTACGCGTTGGGGGATGACGGTGTTACGTGTAACGATATAGACGAGTGCTCCAATGGTCGTCATAATTGCAGTAACGAGTGCGTGAACAGAGACGGCGATTACGAATGCACCTGCCTGCCTCGATGGAGTTTATCGAACGATTTGAAGACATGCGTCGTGGATGAAAGCTATTGCTCAAGAACACACGGATGCAGTCATACGTGCGAAGAAGATGGGGAGAAAATTCGCTGTGGATGCCCCGAGGGATACGAATTAGCCGAGGACGATAAAACTTGCAGGGACGTTAACGAGTGCGCCGAGGATCTACATTCTTGTACTCATAATTGCTCCAACGTCGACGGCTCTTATAAATGCGAATGCAATGCTGGCTACGAACTTTCGAACGATCTTCGTACCTGTCAAGATATCAACGAGTGCTCGTTGGGACTGGATATCTGCTCGGATGGATGTATGAATACACCGGGTAGCTTCGTCTGTCTCTGCCTAGAGGGTTTCAAACTTAATGCCGATCAGCGCACTTGCATCGACATCGACGAATGCTCTTTAAATTTGCACGGATGCTCATACGATTGCGAGAATAGCCAAGGTGGCTACACTTGCCGTTGCCCGAACAACAATATTCTCGATAAAGACAACAAAACCTGCGCCGAAATGAAGACGTGCGAGGAAGTTAATCACGGCTGCTCCCACAACTGTTTCGTGATAAACGGCGAGAATAAATGCCAATGTCCCGACGGCTACGAACTTCGCGACGACTCAATGACTTGTCAAGATGTCAACGAGTGCTTAAACAATAACGGCGGTTGCTCTAATTATTGTGAAAATACCGAGGGCGGTATGGAATGTAAATGCCCGGCCAAGCAACATCTCCTGGATGATGGGAAATCTTGTGTGGAAATCAACGAGTGTTTTATCGATAACGGAGGCTGTTCTCACGACTGCCAATACAAATACGAAAGCATCAGTTGCGCTTGCCCAAACGGTATGGCCCTAGCTGCGGATAATTTAACCTGCGTCACTGAAAATGCATGCAATAAAAATAACGGCGGCTGCAGTCATATTTGCAATTCGATTAACGAGATGGCAGTTTGCAGATGCCCTAGTGGAATGCAGTTGGGCTACAATAACGCAACGTGCGTCGATATTGACGAATGCTTAGAAAACAAAGACAATTGCACTCACGGTTGCATTAATAATTATGGCGGCTATGAGTGTACTTGCAATTCAGGCTTTACGCTAAATTCCGTGGACAGTGCATTGTGCGACGACATCAACGAGTGCTTCATCAATAATGGAAATTGTTCTCAAATTTGTATTAATACAGTGGGTAGCTTTCGCTGCTCCTGCTTTTCCGGCTTTGTTCTAACGCTCGATAATTCCACTTGTTCGGAATCTAAAGTTTGCACGAGAAACAACGGGAATTGCTCTCATTACTGCCAAGTTGATGTAAATAGCGACATCGCCTCGTGCTCCTGTCCAGTGGGTTTCAGGCTCTTGCCGGACTCCAAAACTTGCGAGGACATCGACGAATGCGAGGAATTTGAAAACGACGTTCACTCAGGATGCTCGCACAAATGCGTTAATCAAGAGGGAAGTTATTATTGCGAATGCCCAAAGGGATACACGATTTCGCCAGATGACAAAAAAACCTGTCTAGATATCGACGAATGTTTAATTTCTTACCACAATTGCTCCCACAATTGTTTGAATCTTCTTGGCAGTTACTTGTGCACGTGCGAGGAAGGTCATTATTTACATTCGGATAACGTCACCTGCCTCGACATTAACGAGTGTCTTCATAATAATGGCGGCTGCTCGAAATATTGTAACAATACCCCCGGGAGCTACAGCTGCTTATGCTCCGAGGGTTTTCAATTGAGTAAGGACGAGAAGACTTGCATCGACATTAACGAGTGCGATAACGAACGGAGCTTATGCTCGTTCGAATGTCTAAATACATTGGGCTCTTATAAATGCATTTGTCCCGATGGCCATGTCTTGGCGAATGATATGAAAACTTGCGTCGCTGCTGACAGATGTAAGCCAAATAATGGCGGATGTTCACATATTTGTTATAATTATGCGAATGGCATTGAATGCACGTGTCCATTGGGAATGTATCTCGATCAAGATGAGAAAACTTGCATGGACATCAATGAGTGTCTGGTGGATAACGGCGGATGTCCCGATATTTGCGTAAACATAGACGAAGGCTTCCGTTGCAAGTGCTCCAAGGGGCACGAATTTAATTTTGATAAAACAATCTGCGATGACATTGACGAGTGCGCGACGAATAACGGCGACTGTTCTCACACTTGTCAAAATACAAAAGGCGAGTACCATTGCGAGTGCCCATCTGGCTACAGCTTAGGCCCAAATAACAAAACTTGCGATGACACGAACGAATGCGAGATCGATAATGGCGGCTGCTCTCATATCTGTAATAACCAATTGGGCTCCTACCAATGCCAATGTCCGGACAATTATCAGCTAAGAGACGGGAGAGTCTGTTACACCGAACATCCATGTGGCGACGGGAATAACGGGGGCTGCGAACATATCTGCAGAGAAGACAATGGACGTGGCATTTGCTCGTGCCGAGACGGCTTTCGCGTATCTGGATCTAACAGCTCGAGCTGCGTCGACATTGACGAATGTGCGAAAAATCATGGCTGCGAGCATTTGTGCGTGAACATGTACGGCTCGTACGAGTGCCGATGCCGAGCCGGATTCGAGATGAAAAATAACGTTTGCGTAGGTGAGTTTTGTAAGAAATTACCAAGAGCAATTATTTGTGCAATTGTCCCCGGTAAGTGGCAACGAAGCTTTTATCGATCGATATAATGCTGGCAATTTTTGCCATAACGATCATTTACATTCAATTTTTCAGACATTGACGAATGCAGTCGCAACATTTATTGCGGAGGGGGATGTGTAAATACGCCTGGCTCCTATCGCTGCGAGTGCAATATTGGCTTTAAGAAAGAAGCTAACGGATGCGCGGGTTTGCAAAATTCGAGCCTATATGTGTAGATATTAATGTTGAAATATGCGTCAATAATTTGTAAATTAATTGTTTTCCTAGATATGGATGAGTGCCTAAACAACAACGGCGACTGCGAGCAAATATGCATTAACGGCTTGGGATCTTATGCCTGCTCCTGTTATTCTGGATTTTACGTTAATCGAAGGTAATAATTCTCTTAACGAACAATCATCGTTATCACAATACCCATGCAATTTATTTACACATAAATAAATAAATAAATAAATAAATAAATAAATAAATAAATAAATAAATAAATATAAATATATATATATATATATATATAAATAATTCTTTAGAAATACGAGCCAATGCTTGGACATTAACGAATGTCTCTACCGTAACGGGGGCTGCAACGGTGACTGCATTAACACACCAGGAAGTTACTATTGTGTCTGCGCCGACGATTTAGTACTCGCTGACGACGAGAGAACTTGCATCTCAAGAACACCCAGGTGTCCGACCATGGAGCCGCCACCATACGGCGAGGTACGGACATTCGTATATATTCAAGGCCGCGATACTCGACATTTTATGCTCTAATACGCTCCTTTGATCCATTCCCCGGAATTTATGAGGAATTTAAAAATACTGTCAACCAAAATTTTAATTGGCTCGATACTAAATCAATCACATGCATTTCTATAATAAACGTCTTTATAATTCGATTTAAACGCGTTTTATAGTATCCATTGCGTTATGATGGATATAAAGATGGAAAACGCTGCTCGTATGAGCCATCGATAATGCTTATTTGCAGTAGCGAGCATTTTATAAACTTATAATTTTGAAAGAAAAGAAAGAAAGTAAAATCTAAAAGAACCAATATAACAAAAAAAAAAAAAAAAAAAAGAAAAAAAAAGTAACAGCAACGTCCAATAAATCACGAGACATAAAACGATAGTATTTTAATAAAAAGAAAATACATTTGAATTGGCAATTATATTAACAGCGTTAAATTAATAATTTTTAATAAAAAAAATATCCTTTGTATACTCTGTATGCTACTGCATATAGGATATATTGGCTGTAAAGGAAAACAGGAAGTCTACGATTTATTCTTTTAGTTCTAAAACTTATTTACAATTTTTGCACATAGATGAGATGTCCAGGTCATCCGTCGGGTGCCTTGGATTATCCACTAGGAGCAAAGTGCCACATTAGGTGCAGAAGGAGTTTCAGACTCGAAGGTTCTTATCTCAGGACATGCGAGGCAGGAGGCCATTGGGATGGTACAGAGCCGATCTGCGTTCGAGATTATTCATCAGAGGCACGTCCTTATTATGCGGGTAAGGACATTAAGGAGTGGCACAAATTAATACCACAGCCGAGTCGGTTGGATTTGTTGTGCTTAATAGGAAAATTAGAAAAAACATCAAGATCAACATTCAAGATCCTTATATCGAAAAGGAATTTTTTAATCAATTCGTTACAACGTTTTGTAGTTTGTATCACCAGTTAATTTGCTTAACTAATGAATTTTCATTTTCTTCCGTTGTTGAATTAGAAATATTCCAAGTCAATCGAGCGTACGAGTTTCGAGGGTAACTATTGCTTCTAAAAGTTGTGTTGCTATAAGTTTACTTTTTTTGCTTTTTTTGCTTTTTTTCTTTCATTTTGTTTTTACTAGCTTTTAAATCAGAAATGATTTCGGTTTTATAGTATAATAAACTTTTGCTGCGAATCAGTATATGGCATTATGAAATAATTTCCACTACATCTATACCCAGCAGCACCCTTTCACGCTAACCAACAATAATTTTTAATTTCTTATATATATATATATATATAGATAGATAAATGCGATTGTTATAAAATTCACGTCTGCTGAACTAATTTTAATGTGGGCTAAAATAAAACGTGCGATCGTTAAAAAGAGCTCTACAGAGAGGTATTATTTTAACATGGTAACTTTGAATACAATAAGGAAAATAAACAGGAAATTTTGCAGCGCAATACCCTTCAACGTTGATTTAAATGCCCTTTAAGATCCTAATTGCACGACAATATTTCTCGAAGTAAGAGACGGGAGAGGAGGCGAGAGGACAGGCGTCTGAAGTAATAATCAATTGGCAAGAGTTAATTGTCCGGTACTTTAAAGACAGAGAACAATTCATTACTTCCGACGCACGCTGTAAACGCCCCGAAATAATGGAAAGTTCCGGCTTGGGGTACAAAAGTCCGAATTGGGCGCACGCGCAAACCACTAACGACTCCATACGTTAACGCCACGCCTTAATGAGCTTTACTGGGCGCCGTGTATTTATTTTATTTATATATTTTATTTTCATACAGAGCACCGCTAAGCCACATTCTTCGAAAAACTTCTCACGCTTCGTTTGCCCTTTTTTTATTTGGTGCCCCGCTCGCGCTTCCCTTGGCAGTTTTTTTCTCCCTCGAGGAAGGAAATTCTTTTGCGAAATGCGCCCTCTCATTGTTGCGGATAATGAGCACGAAGGGTTTTGCTAGCTGTAACAATGACGATAGTCGGCACTCGTCTTGGCCCATTCCTAGCACAGTGTCTCCCTCGGCCTGTCCTCCTTTTTCATCCGCACACTCTTGCCTTTCCTCGTGCTTGCGGGACGATCGATGCTTTTAATGAACCGAATTTCCTGCCTCCCCACTGTTCTCCAATCGATCTTCATGTTCTGCGTTTGAAATGAGCGTCGGTCTCTATGACCTATCGACGATGTAGCTATTTACGCATTTTTCTCTCTCGCATTTTAAAGCCAACGACCTGGAATTACACGATTTTGGCATTTTATTTATTTCATTGTAACCACGTTCGATCGCAAGTACAATTGAGCTTTGAAACCAACGACTAGTATTCTTATCTGATGATCCCATTCCGATTCTCCCGTTAGCAAACGCACTTATTGTTGTATTTTTTTATCGTTTGAAAATTCAACAAAAATAATTAGATACTTCATTCGGTGATTGAATCGGAGGAGAAAGTTGTTGTTGAAAGAACATTGCAGTGCAATTTATTTGAAAATCGGCTTGGTCTATTAGCTTTTTTTTATGCCTTTAACTCGATATAACCGTCGGCCAATTCGGCCGATACCGTAGCTCACGGAAATTTCAAATATTTTAATCTCCGAACCATTGAGTCGTCAAGATACTGTCCACACAAAATACATGCGGTATCTCTTTTGTCCGGTCTACCCTCTTTTTAGTACGCGAACTTGAGGTGGCGTGCTTTGACAGATGAATTTACTCGTGTGCGGACTGCGGTAACGAACATCGAGAGACTCATTTTCTTTTTCTATGCAGTTACTCAAGCGACCCAGATGCGCTCGCATGATTAATCAATGGAACATACTCGATTCGTTGATTTTTTTAGCTCCTACGACGACTCCTGCGTCCAGACCCTACATCAGATGCCCAAGTGACCTGGACGTTGAACTACCACCGAGACGCGGGACCGCGCGTATCTCCTTTCCCCAGCCGAAAACGAACGTCGATTGGTACAGGTAATGCTGTAATAGTTTATTGTACTTGTTATTTTAAGTCGCTGCATTCGACATCAAAATTAGCATTTCAATGAGCGAAATTTCAAAATCTATTTTGTGAGAGAGTAATGGTCATCTAATTATATACATTATAACAGCCATTTATTTCGTATGAAATAATAAAAAGGCAGATGATAATATAAATTTGACTAATCGTCTATAATATTAATAAGGTTAGATAAATTTATGGATTCACAGATATATTACGATAACAATACGTGTAATTCTCAACTCATCAATGTATTGTTCAAGTTTAATAAAAATTAGTAGCTAATTGCACATTTTGTGAAAATATACGCATTTAATTCCCTTGCAATGAATTTTTGCAATGTCAACCGCATGGCTCTGAAATTATAAAATTTACGTATTTTTAACGATAAGCAAGTTGAAATAAAAGATAATAGTATTTGAAAATATTTTTCAACATTAAGTAGAATCTCTGAATATAAATTTAAACATAAATTATAACTACACGCCTAGAGTAAAATATAAAACTATTGTTTTTAAATATTATTTTCAATTTATGATGATCGCTACAAAAAGCAAAATTATTTTTTTTTTATATTTTTATATATAATATATCTACTACAATCTGAATGGCATTTCTTTTATTTTATTTTACATCGTTACTTATTTATGTACTGCAACCTTTACTACTTTTCCTATTCTGATATAGCAGGATTTTCCTACGACTTGATTTTTATTTGCAATCCTCGCGATTGTCTCGAAGTATCTTATTGCTTTAGAAGTCGATAAATATATATATAGTTTCAAATGAAGTCTGCCAGCTGAACTTCTTTATAATATATATTATATGTTTGATATTTTATTATCTTTTCATTGTTAAAAAAGTTAATTTCATAGTTTTATGATTGATATTTTTATTTAAATGAGTAGCATAATATTCAATTATAAGTTTTCATCTTTCTCTATGCTTACGTCTATGTATATTCACATTATTATTACTTTATTAGTTGAATATTACTATTTCATTACTGTAGTTGAATAATTATATTATTTATTTTTGAATTTTCTACAATTTTCAATACATTTTTGTTTTATTAGTGATGATTATTATTTTTTTTTTTTTTCATTCAAACAATGTTGTATTTGATTGAATATCGTATAATTTCTTATTGTATCTTTTTTTCTAATCTTCCAAATGATCGATTAATAATGAATATTTAGTGAATTATTTTTTCCAATTTCCAGTTATTTTAACATCTGTAAATTTACTTTTTCAACAATATCATTATTACTCAAAAATGCGATTATATTTTGCATCATTGAAATTCATACAATTTATTAATATCTCACAACAATTATATATAATTTATTATACATTATAATTATAATACAATAATAACAATTTCATATTTTTGCATTAATGGAAATATGTAGATGAATAGTAGTAGGAGTAGATTTAGAATTCTATTCATTCCCTTGACAGCAGGTCAGGTCCTGTGAAATCCATTCGAACCAAAGCATATCTAAAATAAATAAGACTTGAAGCATTTTATATTCACAGACAGCAACCAACTTGCGAAACGATATATCTCGAGATATTTATAACATTGCATACGTCATACATTTTTTTTTATCGGCGTACCTCTTTGTTCTTCATAAGATCCGCCATTTATTTTTCTTTGTCATCTCGCAGTGGAAAAGGACGGTGGCTCTCATCCGTCCAAGAGGATCGACACCTAACCTCTACTTTTGTCTCGAGAGTCTTGATCGGTCACCGGACTCGCCTTCCGACATTTCTCCCTCCTCACTCGCTATCTCTCTTCTCTCTATCTATCTATCTATCTATCTATCTATCTATCTATCTATCTATCTATCTATATATATTCGTCTGCGTATACTTACAAGTGTATCGATCCTGTAACTTCACAATGGTCCTTGAGATATCATGTGTATAGGCGATGCGACAATGTATCTCGGACAAGTGCCCCGTCGATCATTCGCCTCCACATGCCTTAGCAAACAATTTCGACGTCTTATGTTTTGTACATGTTCATATTCTTGTGGTGAACATTGGATGGAATCTAAGAATCGAATGAAGGGTCACATCGAAGGTGACAGGGTCGCGCCCAAACTTCTCATCTACTTCTGCACTCGATGACCGGAGGATTTATTCAAAATTTCTACAGTCCCTCTCCGAATAATGATTATTGCTCTTTTCATCCGTTATCTTTTCCTACTTTTCTTTCGACAGATATATTTAAAATTTCTCATGATTTGATAAAGTTTATTGAAATTAAAGTTTCATTATGATCTTTCATATTAAAATCTTAAAAAACAATAATATTGCTTTATTGGAAGGTAAGGTATTTGAACATTAAGTTATCGATTATAACGGGACCTTATAGTTTTCTTTTAAACAAAAAGAACTAAATGAAAAGGTTAAAATTGATTTTTTTTTAATATAGATGGGGTTTAAGATATTTATGTGTTCACACATGAAATATCTGGAAGATAAAATTTATTAAAGTTATTTTTCTTATTTATGTCATTAAAGTTTTTAGAATAATCAAATAGAATTTATTATAAATAATAATTTCATTGGGATTTATATTTGCCATCATTTAATTTATATTTATGGTATATTTTACGGTATATTTAATGCATTCGACACAAATTTCTTTCACGTTTAATATTACTTTTTTTTTCAATTTTTATTTCACCATTTACGAATGTATTATCACTGTTTTATATTTATTATAAAATCATTAATTTTTAATTATTGGGCATTCTTAACTGTAAATACAATTAAATATATTAAATTCATTCGTTCTTCATTTAATAGACATAGTTATATATATATATATATAATGTGAATTTGGATTTATAGAAATGTGGAATCCAATCCGGCGTGGGGAAAACAATTACAAGCAGATTTACCCCCAGGAACTACAGTACTAACATTCACCGCCTTTTCCTCTACAACAAATTATACAAACATCTGCCGAATGATGATTCGTGTCCGTGGTGAGTTTATTAATACATTTTTCTAAATAATTTTATTTACATTATTGCCTCTTGTATAAAGCAATTGACTCATATATTTCGACTATTTAAAATTATTATAAAACCGTATGAATATTGTAACGTGTCACATGCATTTATGTACATATACAATTTTAAATATACTTATTCCTAGTGCTTCTGTGCTTTTTTTCAGAAGATATTGTATATGACTGAAAATTGTAATACATTTGGTTGTGTAAGTACAGGTGTAATGCTTTTCAACCAAAAAAAAAAAAAAAAAAAAAAAAAAAAAAAAAAAAAAACAAAAGAACAAAAAAAAAAAAAACTTAACTCCTCGAGTCGAGTATTAGAGAGGTAATATTGCGTAAATGAGTATCTTTTCTTAAAACAGTCACGATAAAAGTAAAAAAAATGACATTCAAACTCTGTGATTTTCCTCGACAATTTTCCTCTCCGTATTTGACAATGGTACACTGTCTAGCGCGGACACATTGCTCCTTGAATACGAGAGATATAGATAAAAATTCCTTGTTTAGCGGCACTCGCAGCGCGTCTCGGCAATTCCCCGCCTCCCTCCTTTCTCGCCCTTCACCCACGCACAAAAAATTTATCACATGTCCCGGGAAAATGTATCTGTCCTGCAAGCCGGCATAAAATTTCACATCACGCCCGGCGCGCTGCTTATTTCGGGTCGTCATTTTCGCGGCGCCTGCGACGTACTTCGGAAATCACGGCGATCGATTTATCACGCCGGCGGCAGACTCGATTAATCAATCGTATTTCTGCGCAAGCCATTGAATTATGGTGTCATTGTTGGGGCGTAGGACGATGCGAGCGTCCGCTCCTTTCTTCGAGCTTTGAATTATCTGCGCGTTGACAGGTGGCACGAGCTAAGCTATGTACAACCGCAAGCAGGGAATCCAATTACTCGCTTTACCATGAAGTCGTAAAATTCATTACACGCCCCGTTCGATTCATGATTGAGCTAATGAGGTTTCCATGAGTGAAGGCTCCAGGCTCTCGAATGAAGATGCCCAATCTCGTTGGAGATTTGTGGAGAGATGTGTTAGTTCGTATATTTTCCTCCTGCAATCAATCGTTTTGCTCGGTTGCCCATTTCTATCTCGCAAGCGAGTCGAGTTTTCTCATAATTATGCATTTAGTTATTTTTGCAATTTATCATTATTATACTTTTCGCTAATATGCCATATGAGGTTATTGTGCGCAACAGTATTTATCACTACTATTAATGCATTATTAAGTTAATGATGGTAGTAGGAAAGAAAAGCTTTCTTCTCAATATTTTGTGTATGAAAATATATGGTATTCTTCATTGAGAATTATGATAAATAATAGAATAATAAGCTTTAACTCCAACAACCAAGACAAAAATTTTTAATTCAATTAAGAATTCGTTAATTTGTTCAAGCTTATATTATTGTCGAGATGAGCTTGATTTACAAGGGGATAATTTTTCTTTACTCCGTGGCATTTCTATCGAATTTTTTTCTTCTTCAAAATGTTCATTGATTAGTCTTTAGTTTAATACAGTTTCTTAATAATTTGAAAAAGTTTTGTTCTCATCAAAGGCATTGTTCACAGATAAACAATATCACAGATATTGTTATATAGTTAAAAGTTTTTATCAGAGAAGCATATTCTCATCCTGTTAGAATTGGAATTATTGAATTTCGAAGAGTACATTTTTCACATTTATTGATTGAAAATAAAAACGAATAAAATCATTATGAAATATTAATTATTAGTCGACACGTAATTGCAATGATTATATGAAAAGCCAGCAATTATGTGCAATTTATAATAAACTGCACAATCCGTATATTTTAATAGTGACAATTTCACCAGCTGGTATAATTACTTTACATTGAGATTAAAAATCAATCGAGTGACAGTTCTAAAATAGAAAGAAAAAATTCATAAAATTCTGCGATGGTATTCCAGGCTTGACTGTTTTAATCGACTACTTCAATGAATGTAAAGTTAATGCAATTAATCAAAGCAAACCAATTGGCAGAATTACCTTGATGAGCTAAATAAAAGCAGCACACAGTTAGCTATGGTAGTTTCCCGTTTTCACCCATAGCATCTGGGTAGTAGGTAAAACCTCCACGTAGCAGGTAAAACCTCCAAGATTTAAACCACTGAATCTACAATGTATTTCTTTTATTTTATTTTTTATTTTTCGTCATCATTCATTACTTAATTACCTAATCGCTTAATAAATAATCAAGCTTCCCTCGAAAAACTTTATTCACTTGGATATTTAACAAAAATAAACTTTTATCAAGTACACACTTGGCCTTTCCATCGCAAATGACTTTGGGAAAGTCAAAACGAACGGAACTTTCCGAAAGTTGATGCATAAGTTTCGAGCATTCCAGTCAATTGTTGCACTGTAATTGTTAAAATATACTAACTCGATGATAAGTGGATGCATTGAAAAATTTCATCAATATTGGATTTAGATTAAAAAAATTAAAAAAAAAGAAATAAAAAAATAAATAAATAAAAAAAAAAATGGTAAAAAAAGCGTTTGTATGAAGCAACGATGTTAAAAATAAGGCGAGAAACGATGAAATTCTTAAAATTAAAAAAGATCCCATCTTAACGAGTTTATGCGATTACGATACTTTCATCATATCGTGATTCTAACTTGACAACTAAAAATCACAAAATTATTATAAACTGTGTGCCTTTTAACTTCATATATATCAGAGCATTGAGGCACTATTTGCGTTGAATAATATATGTATTGTAGGGGCCTTTACGATCTCGTTCTTCCTGTACAAGATTAAACAATTAAAACATATTTGCCAAAACTCGCCAATGAATTTAAGAGTTAATCGATTATCAAAATAATTAAAATACAGCACATCAATAATGAAAGGCCTTACATTATGAAAGAGATATTCTAAAGGCAAATAAAGACACTAGAGTTAAATCTTAAGTTTCCGCGATCGAACTAATATCGGCATTACGACCTTTTTTTCAGACACGGAGAGTCCAAAAGTCCAGAGCTGTCCGACGTCGTTCGAGGTGCGCCTGAATCCCGGCGAACGCGAGCGGATGATTTTCTGGCAGGAACCGACGTTCAGCGATAACGCGAATGTCGAGCGCACGTACAAGTCACGGGTGAGCATCATCTTCGAGGCTCTTTTTAACCACAGTCCCTTGCACACCCAACGAAGATGATCTTTGATAAGTTAAGTCGCGAGCTCCTTTGCTCGGCAGCCGTCGCCTCATCCGGGCACATAACTCGGCACTCGACTCTCCCTGACAACGGCAGCAACCCCTCGCACTTTGAAACCTTTACCCTCGTCCTTCACATTATTAAGAGCCGCCCTCGAATTTACCATAAGCTCGTGATAATTAATATGCGGATGAATAATTTTACAATTTTATTTTATCATTTCACCATTCCTTATTTGCTTATTCCCTTATGCTTTATATGTGATCAAGTCGCTGTCTCCCGTTCTCCTCGTTCTCTACCTTTTGTCTCAAAACGACAGGTCAAAACTATCGCAATGAATAAATGTTGGAGTTCAAATGAGCCATAAGCGTTCACATTATATACTTGCTTATGATGTTCGTAAGAGGCTAGGAGGTTATGCATTATTTTTCAAAATTTCGCAAGACAAGTGAGTAAGCTACAAAGCTTTGATCGCAAACTTAAATTTACGATAGTTGATAATGAAAATTTTTTTTAATTTTCGAGTACTTATTTACTTATTTACTTATTTGAAGCTTTTATCGTAGCTATCGTAGGTATTTATGTAATGAAGCCGTTTTAGATATTTCAGTGAATATGTTTAGGGGAAATATAGTGAAAAATATGAACATATAGTTATGTAGCTCAGTGTAAATGATTTAATATTACTTTATATTGCATAAATGAACTGAACAAATCAATAAAATCTGAATTATTGCTTAAGATTAATTAGCTGGACATAGATGGTTCTAATAATTTACGTTATCAAAGTATAATAGACTTTGAAGATAATGAGAATTCTAGCAAACTCATTTAAAAGTATAATGATTATGCATAACAATAACATTACTTATAATTTGAATTGGATGCAATCAAACTGTAATTTGTTACCGTTTATTAGTTTATTCTTTTTGTTATTTGTTCTTTGTGTGAAAGATCTTAAAAATGTTTATTTTTCGTGTTTATTAAAAATTGTAGATCAATTTTATGTGCGATTTATTAAAAGATATTAAATTACTATTAATAAAGTTTTTATTAGAAATATAATTATTATTATTGTTCAATTATTTTTCAATAAAAATATGTATATCCATATATATATATATATATATAAGGATTAAAAAAAAATTTTTTTATAGCTATTTATTGCTATATCTTTACCTCTCTCTCTCTCTCTCTCTCTCTCTCTCTCTCTCTCTCTCTCTTTACACATGTCTAATAATTTATTAGCATTGGTATATCACTAAATAAAGTCAATTATTCAATTTTTAAAATAGTTGGACTACAGAGTTAACAGAAATCCATCACTTTTACATTGGTTGAAAACTGACAATCAGAAACCTATACAATAATCCGTAATTCTTTCATTTTTTCATTTTTTCTTTTTTTTGTTTGTTTTTGTTGTTATATAGACACCTTTCAATCTCGTTTCCATTTCGCAAGTTTCAGCCCGTTCATGCAGCTATCTTCATCATCGAGGGCTCACCTTTTAAACAAAACTCGATTTGTAAAACCATACACCTCAACTCTTTATTTTTTTCCATTTTCTGTCCCGTTTCCCTTTGTACGTATACATGTATCCAGGATTCAATTTTTGTCCGATAGCCGCGCGTCGAGCAATTCCTAAACAACCCAGCTTGGCTAATAACGATTTCGATGCGTCTCTGTCTTTCTTACCACAAGCGTCTAGCACATTAGTTTGCATAGTGACTATCTTAGCAAAAAGGTGGCACCAATTAGCTTCATAAATTTATTAATACGAAAGTTTCATTAATATCATAATTGATATCTATGTAATCCTAACCGCAAATGAAATATATTCATAATCTATAATTTATTAAGTATACATTTATTAACTATCTCGTAACAATATTAATAAAAATAATTTATTTCTCATTCATCGTTTTATTAATTAACTATATTATTTTACTTATTCATATATTTTATTACTTTAAATATTATTTTTTGCTTATTTCTTGTTAAGAACAAAAAACAATGACTATACGAAAATAAACTATTTATGGCAGTTAAATTGATAATCTATTTAATCTATTTATTCTATCTATTTAACCGATCGACAGTCTCCGAGGATATAAAATTATTGCAAAATTTATTCTTGGTTTTATTTTTTACAATATTGGTTAGAAAAAAAAGTGAGAGAACTGTATGCTTAAAAGGATCGGGATAGAGTGAATGAGAAAAAGTGCAGTCAGCGAAAGATAAAAGAAGATGAAAGTTATAAATAAAAAAATAAAAAAAAAAAAGATTAATTTAAACATTAGAATTTGAAAGTATTTTAACTACCATAAGAAAATGAAATTTAAATTTACTATTTTCTTTTATTAACAATAAAGTATCTTATAGATAACAAATTGCCTGTCAATTCATCATATTCTATTTTCATTTTATCATCGAAATTAAAACACATTCCAATTTAATAAAAATCAGTGAATATATATATATATATATATATATATATATATATATATATATGAAATAATTTAATTAAAGAATTTTGTGATTGAAATGAAACATAAAGCAGAGATTTTAATCGTTTTTGCGATCGATACACATGTAAAATATTAAATTTCATATCAAAACTTACTTAAAAATACAGAATTTAAATTTGAAATAGTGTTAACAATTGATAGTATTGATAATATAATCTGAACAAAAGAATATCTTATTAGTAGATAAATTTTAATTTCATCTTTAGATAACAGTAGAGTAACAAAGACATTAGCATTCAACGTTGCAACAATTAAAGTATTTAGATTTACAAAACCGTCTATCGTGTCGACACAGCTTAGAGAAATAGTTTTCCCTAATTTTGGTTTCAACTCTAGAATGAAAAACTTTCCGAATATGTATGAGGATAATTTTCCCCTTCGTCTGTTGTTTCCCTCGAAATACACGAGCTTAAGAGACCCCTTTCAAATACAACCAAATACCTTTCCTAAAGTTTAAAGACAAAAGTCAAATTACCAAAATCTTGGACTATTCCTTCATGCATAGCAATCGAATTATTTTCGCAACTCCCCCCCCCCCACACACACACACAAACACAACGGTTTACTCGCACAACTTTTACCCCTATTACTCTATTCACGGATTTGAATTCAAATGACGGTCTGTCAATTATCCATCACAGAGAGTTCACTCAAGTGAGTGACGACTGTACTTGAACTTTGCATCTTTTTCATCCGTTTATCACGCCTTGACGAATTTTCTAGGAACCTGGCCAGATGCTATACCCGGGTGTTCACAACGTGCGTTACATTGCCTCGGATGCTGCCGGAAACCGAGCCGAATGCCATTTCAACATTCATGTACGAGGTGCGTATAATTTTCCTCCTGAGCCACCTACCATTTACTTTACCCCGATTTATCGAGATTAAGGGCATTTTTATGCTATGACAATTTTAGCAATAATTAAGGAATCGATTACTTATAACTGTTTTATTTATTAGAGTTTCTTTAATAATTTATTCGATTTTTCATAATGCCTTTGAAATATTAAGAAAAATGTATCTATGTACAAATTTTATTTATAAAACCAGAAATTGATTATGGTCTAGTATGCATAAGTATGTATAAATATATATTTCCTGTTTGTTATTTCATAATCGTAACTATAAAATATAAATTTTATTTGGATCATGTATCAAAAAACAATTTGTATATCAAGTGTTATCTAATGAATATTACAGTTCAAGCGTTTTTAATTAAAATTCTTGGTAAAATAGTAATTTATTGAAATACAAACAAATATCTTATACGATTGATTTAATTTTCCTACGTTTGATCTTCATGAAGAATTTCATTCGTATATTTACATTGAACAGTAAAGGCTCATTCTTTTAATATCCGTAGAATGGAAGATTATTTTGTCTAACAGATCTTGCTTTGAAAAAATCATTTTGACATTATTGCCATGAAAACATCTTAATATTTCTATTAATTGTATAAATATAATTTTTATCAATATATTTTTTTATTTTTATGTAGTTTTATGCAGAGATAAATATCAATATATTAAATGAGTTTTACGATCTCATAGTGCGAATGATTTTCAACAAAATATACATAGTAATTGAAAGTATTGAAGTTCTCGTCACTTATTATGTATATACATATACCTATTATACATTAGTTATTTTAACTTCCATCCGTTTCATTTCACAATTAGAGTTTACATATTTTATTTTAGAAATCTTATAAGTATTATAACACCGTTGATTCAAAATTATACATTAATAAGGTTCTAATAGCGCAGATAAATGAATTTGTCATTAAATTTTGTTTTTTTTTTGTTTTTTTTTTTCTTTTTACGCTGTACATAACGAATATCGAATAATTTAATTACACGGAAGGCAGCAATTACTCATATTTATATAAATTTATAATACGTGCATTCATTTATGGCCAAGAAGTTGAATTAGAAACTTTTCAGGAATGAATTAATTTTTTTTGCGATAATATAAAATGTGTAAAATAAACTCGTTAAAATCTAGTAATATAATATTGTATTAATTTACGTAATAAATGCGAATAAAACGAGATAGTATAAATATTCAAGTTAAAGAACAAGAAAAAGTATGTCATATTAATTTGTAGTAAACAAGCTGCTCGAGTACAATAAAATAACCTTAAAAATAAACAAAAGAAAAGCGAATAAAGGCGTGTCCCCCGTGTTTGCAGAATAACAATGATTGAAAAAACGAGCGTGAGAGATTCGCTCATCTCTGAGATATATTCTATCTTTTTCGCGCTCTCTTTTTCTCTCTTTCTCACTTTCTTTTAACAGTTTTTTCTTTTTTACGATTTTTAAAAGTAATGTAATCTCCCGTCTTTTACAGAAGCTGAACGACGAGATGTGGAAGCCGAGGTAAGTCAAAGGAAGTTGTTACTCAACAGTTTTTTATGACCTCCAGAAGAGAAAAGATGCGAAAGATCTAGATGAAATACCTTAGTAGTATTTTATCTTTTAGTATAAAGCTCTGCATTGCTGTACTTTTCTATTAATGCTATATTCCGTTATTTTTTCTTTTGCGAATGTGTGTACAGTGATACTTTGTAAAGCTAAAAACCCTTCGTGTGGTAGCTATTATAAGAGTGAAATTGACGTCACGTACAAACACCAACGCACAAAGCTTATAAAACATACGATATTGATATTATGAGATAATTTTTTGTTATAAATCCTAACGTATTAATTTAAGTATTGTAAGCTCACTGTAGAATAATTTTTCAGTTCTAATATTACATCTATCGAGAAGTAGATTAATATTTTTTATTTAATATTTTCTCTTTTAGCGTATATAATGATCAAAGTTATAAAATAAGGATGTCTTTTACAAGATTTTTAATAGCAATTATTTTTCATCGTACTTTATGAATAGGGAAATAAGTCGATGTAAGTGAATGACAAATTAGTAGTTCAAATTAAATTATTCATGAAATGAATAAGATATTTTTTTTTATTGTAATGATGTTGCAACCAACTATTGATAATATTTTTTTTTATAAGACCGTCACATACGCTACTCTTAATGATCTGTTAAAAAGCGAATTTTTAAATTAATCACTTAAATAATTGATGTGATAAATTTCAATTTTTCTTTTTATGAATAGAGAACAAATAGAGAAAACGATCGTGTATTAAATCACTGCTAGTCATGAAATTCGATATTACCATTATAATAGAAAAATATTACTTATTGCGCGTCATGCTGACTATTCGTAAATTATATATTATCATCTATTTTTATTTGTCTTTTATTTTACCTTCTAGTTACGTACTTAATACTAGTTAACTCATTTCGACTCCAAAAATGATAATGTCTCGGTTGGACATTATAATCTCGCATTAGATAATTTATGGAAAGTTTTTTAGCACATGAGCTCGGTTGCTGTACTTTAATAGTGTGCAAATGTATTTTATATACTATTTCAGAACTTTATTTTAATGTGAATAGAATTGAGGTTTGCCATAATTAAATTGTTTTGATAATACATTAAGAATATCTTTGAGCTCCATTTCGCAGATCACTCTTGACGTAAGCAAAATTTGTAATTTATTTTTAATTGACTCTTTATAACGGATTTCACTTTTATTTGTATTATACTTCGGGATACAAAGATAAATTAAATTGTTTTATTAAACAATTTATTCTAGCTTACATAAGATTAAGCTTTTAAATAGCCAAAGAATATTTTATATACGATACGAATTATATCATTTTCTATTAAATAAAATTCAACATATTTTCTCATTCTTTATCTTGTTTTTTTTTTTTTTTTTTTTTTATTTTTTTTTAGCCACAACAACAACAAACCTATCAAAGAATGTTAATTTGTCCGAATAGACCACCACAAGAAATTCCTCTATCACACAGGGTAAGAAACAAAACGTGCTTTATCTTTCAATGTTCAGTTAAATTAAAAATTTTAATTATATTAAATATATATATATATATATATAAATGTATAAAGATTCAAAAATATGATTTTTCAATGTACGTTTATTCTTTGAACATATCATTACATATAATAATGTAATTTTATATAAATTATATAAAAAGTTTAATTAAAGTTATATTCAAGAAATTCAGAGTGTGTTAGGTATTTTGAGCTAATTATTTCCAAGTAAATAATAATATTAACGTAATATATAATTTAAATAAGTTTATTATTTCATACAGTAAATATATTATATTATAAGTATCTAACATTTCCCATTATAAATGGCATAATACATAGAGAAAAATTGAAGAGAGATTTAAGAAATTAAAAATGTTCAAGTTCGGTTGATTTTATTTAAATATACAAAAATTCTAATATCAAAAGCATTTCGTTTCATATTCATGTATTGAATGTTAATTTTAACGGTTGTATTCATTGAAATATCAATTCTTCTAAAAAATTTGGATTATTTAAATATATTAAACATTTTTTTCTCTCTCTCTCTCTCTCTCTCTCCCTCTCTCATTTTTTTAGTAATTTGCCACGAAATTCCTGGGATACATACTACTTCATAAAGCTATAATACTTTGCGTACAATTAAGTCTCTCCGTCCATTAAGGAAATACGGTGTTGAGCTTTTAGTAAAACACAGTATTATGAGTGAAATATATTTAATTAAAACGAAATAATGAATTTTACTCTTTTTTAGTAAATGAATTCTCGCAATGAACATTTTGCTTACTAATAGTGATAATATTTTTCAATTGTGGCCGGTTAATTAATAAAATATCCAAAGCTATTTTCGTTTTAATTGATAATTTTAATTTGCTAATACGTGTTTGACAAGGAGTTTGAAAATGGTGTTTTCCACTTTAACAACACCCGAGTAAGATAGCTGTATAAATGACTATTTAAGAGTTATTCGTAAAATAATTATTTTCTACGCTCGTATTGATAAAACCATCAATTCCCAAAATAACACGTAATCTTGCTTTAAATAATAATAAACAAGTCTGTTACGTGCTTTAAAATTTTGCCATCTAATATCACTCTCGATTTCTTTGGTTTCTTACTCCACTACACTTATATACCCTTTTGAGTGGAGCTGTTGATAAGGAGAAAAGGGAAGTAAGCGCGAGCTAGATACACATAATAAAATGTCAGAAACTCGTAGAAACAGACACAATGATAACATTCTCATGTAATCCGTATGTTGAATCTTTGAGAATTCGTTTAAAATATTTCTCTTCCATTCGCTTTCAAGTGGCAGATACCCAGTGGATGCTACATGAGATACACGCGGATCTTTTCCGGAGCTTACACATTGCAGCACTACGGGAACGATGGGGGCAGCAACGTCGGGGGCGGCAATCATTATCAGCGTCGCAGTGAGTATCAAAATTCAGCCGCTGCTTATCACGAAGTCCATCCGATGCGTCGAGCACCAACTTCCAGTCATCCTCAGACACGAGCATATCCGCTCGTCAACTGTAAGTGTATGTGTTGCTTTTTTCGTCTTGTTTTGTCAAGCTTCTATATGTATAAGTGATTGTAGGAAAATTACAGTGTGGGTGAAAATATGTTACTAGAAAATTATTTATTATGTTCATTGTGTTGTCAAATCTTACTTATTTTATGAAAAAAAAAAAAAAAAAAAAAAAAAAAACAGTTCGTTGTTAATTCGAAAAAGTTAACGCACTCGGGATGTGTAAAATCGAATATAGAATTATTCGTTTCCAAAATTAAAATCGAAAATATAATATGCACAAACTACTTAAATATACAACAGATCCAATGCGAATAATTCTTTCTCTCTTTCATTTATAATGGAATATGTTTATTTTTAACATATTTTCTCCCACATTATTGTACATTAATAGTTTACAGTTATTATGTTTTGGGAAATATCTACTTTTTCAGGTTTATCTCCTACAATTTGTTTTTACTGATTTTGCACAGTTGTGAATTAAATTTAAATTGAATAAATTAAATCGAATAAATACGAATAAATTTATTTGTAAAGTCAACATTTTTCATATCGAATGTAAAAAGTTTGTGTATATTTGTACATATAAGAACATTATATTATTATATTTGAGAAGCAGCTGTTCAATTGCCTTTAATAAATAATTAGCAATTATTTATTTATTGTTTAATTTTATCCATGGTGCAGAATAGAAAATTTTAAAAGAATTCCTAAAAGATAATAAAATTGTGTTAAACATTCATTAGGAATAGAGATCTTTACGATATTTTTCTATCTAAATGGGAAAAATTAATTATTTATTGAATAATGCCATGTAACTTTTACGAAGCAAATTCATTTTAACGAAAAAATTGCAATTTCAAGCAATTATTAAGGAAACTTAAGGACCATTATTAAGGAAACTGCAAATAAATATAAATATAAATTTTATCTCAACAGTTATTAAAAAGAAACTGATCAATAAGAATTATTTGATAGTTTGTAAAAAAAATATGTTTGGATGATATGTTGGTAAGTATTTTATTAATTTAAAGATAATGAAAGTTTTTATTATTAATGTAGGTATTTAAAATGTTATTAAGTTATGCGCAAATTCTCGAGTCTATTGATATCTGAAATATTTATCGACGTAATATTTTACGGGGCTATTTGAAAGAACAAGAAATGTATTTATAAAATGGGATTATTATATTTAATGAGTATCTAATAAATGTCGAGTGCATGTTAATCAACGGTTTCAGTGAAATAAAACTGATTCTTTACTTTACATTTAATGAATTTTTATACAATACATTATCTTCTAATAATGTATCTATTATGATATATTAATCAATATAGCTGGAACTGGAACTGATAAATGATTATCAAGAAGAGTTAAAGCAGCGTTATATAAACATTGAATTTAGCAGAAATTATAGACAACAATTATCTTAAACTTTTTATTTGAGCATAAAGTGAAGTGAAATAAATCTGATGAGTTGATAAATTTGAATATGTCAGTTAAGCTTAAAAGCTACAGATAATTGTTATAGCATGAAATTTCGTAGTTTACCATCATATACTGATTCACATAGAATATTAATTTATTGAGAAAGATGTTACAGTGACATTAATAGTAAGGAGAATTGATTTATGGTGTCATTCGGTAGCATTCTACCGATTGATTATCCCATTATGATTAAGTAAACATGTATATTATTTTGTAAAATTTCTTAGGATTTAATATCGATTTGATACAATAGAGGAGTACGAATGTCGATTACAAATATTCTTATGGTAAATTAATAATAACTTAAAAATGAATTAATAAACGTAAAAATCATTTATATTCTAAAATTTAGAAAGAATTTTGATAAAGCTCTTAAATTTATATCGCTCGTAATAATTTTTTCTCGAGCTTTAAATGCACCTTGATAATTTAAATATGATACAGAATTTCTTATAAACGGTAAGTAAGAGTGACAAAAGACTTTAATAATTAATATAAACATATATGTTCTAAATTTTACAAAATTGTAAGGCATTAAAATTTTCCTGATTTTTTTAGCACATCCTTATTACTTAATTTTTATTGACATTGAAAATACGATTTTTCTCTTATATATCGATTATGATACGAAAATTTGCAACTAGAATAAGCAAAACAATAATAATTCATCAGTCAAGCAAGAATCACAGCTACATCTGTTTGATAAATGCCACGTAAAAGGGCAAATAAGCACAAATATAATAACAACATCTGAAATTCAGCGTGCAATTCAATAGATTTCAGTCTTAATGTCAAGCGAGGATTGCATTATTCAGAGCTGGTGAATGTGAGATTAAAATGCTCGAACCCAAAATCTCGGGAGTGAAAGAGGTTTTCGCCACAATGCGGGAAGCTAAATCGCTCACTCTTCACGACTAACGGCACCCTACTGTTCACTGGAATGGGGCAAACATAGAAAATACACACACTCGCGAAGTATAAAAGAAAGTACCGGGCGCATAGTCATGAAACTCCAGTCGTCTAAAAGGCCCTCGAAAAGTGGACCGAGAATGTGCCAACTTTCCGTTGCGAATTCACATCCAAAGCTAAAGAGATGAACGGACGTGTGGCTCCTTATAATATGCATCCTACGTGCATTCTGTACTTTAGCTGGTATCTCGTCTTCCATCCTTTTCCTGGAAATTGTGGAAAGGGGGTTTTTTTTTTTTTTTTTTTTTTTTTTTTTTATAGAACTTGAGAATCTTCCAAAGTTTTAAGAACTCGAGCGACAATACCGACGTGGCGAGAATTGTCACGAAGTGTAAGGCGAACGCTCGGAGGGAGTAATTTCGTCATAATAATCGCGTATGCGGGATTTGCTTGTTGTTGATTTGATTTGTAGGCTTTGGAAAAAGACATAAAGGAATAGGGGGAGCAATTTGCTTAAGCCAGTTTATATTTAAGCGATATCGATTGTATACTTAATATGGGATTTGCTTTACGAACTTTGATTAAAATTCTCAGCCGAGCATTGTAATGATGAAACTTTCAATGAAACTGCGATTATACCGATTATAACCAACTTATTAACATTTATTTACTTTCGTATTATTTAATATCGCCTGGCATTGACAACAATCGATAATCTTCTTTTTATCCTTAATCAACAACGACGATTACATATTATAAACTAAATTAATTAAAAATGTGACTTTACCAATGTATTAGTGAATTCGCTTAGAATTCTTGATTAAAATTGATGCAATGAATAGCGTATTCAGAAAGTTTGATAATATAATCCTCATAGTTTATCTGCTTGGAACGATAAAGCAACGTATTCAAGAAAACTGGAATTTACAGAATGCGGGCAAAGAAGATGTGAGATTTTTTTGTTAGTATTCAGAGATGGGAATTACGAAGAAATCAGTCTTTTTATCTTCCTCGAGTAAGCTCGTGCCACCTGAATAACGTAACGAGTGAATTGTTGTACGTAGCCAATGACTGGGAGTAAAAAAGAAAGGGAGAGTTGCTTTCACAAGCAAAAGCTGAACTAGAGAGTTAGGAAAGGAAACAATTGTTCACCTAGGAGAAGCAAAGAAACGGAGAAACGGAGAAACGGAGAAACGTAAATTTAATTCAATTTTTTTTTCTCGCGCGGTGTTTGTTCTGCGAACCCGTGTTGATACAAGAGTGACAAAGACAATTTTCAATTTGTAATCTTCACCTACTTCATTCTACTGTTTCAACACTTTTTTTCATCTTTTCGTACGATAGCGAGCACTTTAAATATCATGTAACAACTCTTTGCGTTCATGATTACTACAATCATGCAATTATAATTTATCAAACGAGCTCCCGTAAATATGGGCGCATATATACAATGCAAACGCTTAAATAAAATTTATAAAATTCTCTTATAAATTGAGCACGTTTATATTATTGCCATTGTAATATAAAAAAAAAAAAAAAAAAAAAAATCTTCATTAGTCAGCAATGAATGACGAAAGTAATGAATTTTACAATATCCCGACTAACAGCGAAAGGGAATTTATAAATCAGCGGGTAAGTTCATAAATTCATTTGAGCGACAAAATTATTGACAAATACTTAACCCGAAGCTCAAGAATTATGAGAAAATAAATAAGAGATAGCAAAGTTGAATGAGCCGACTGAGGCGAATAAACCAGGGAGTGACCAACACATCGATTAGTTGCCTAGTAGAAATGGTCAGCAATAGTCGGCAACGGCAAGCGCTCCCGAGTCGCTCGTTTTCACGATCTGATATTAGTCGCGGATCGCGCCTGCGCTTTGAATTAGTCGATGAAAAAAGGTGAAGAACGGCGAAAAGATTGGTGGATTAATAGTCGGTCGACCTCTTTCTCACCCGAGTCGGTTTTTACGTGCAAGGAAGGACTTGACCATTGGCTGGACATGCAAGCTCGACTGGATATCGAGCAGAACCGATGAGGAGGAGGTGAACGGAATGCTTCGTGCGATCGGTCCGGGTGCTGGCCCATTCTTTCCTTCAACACGATGCAACAAAATATTCTGGAAGGCATTCTCGCCATCCTAATTATCGCTTTGATCGCTCTGCCCTTCGTCGTACAAATTCATCGGTTCCGGGTACGCCACTGCATAATTTCGATCTATTTGCGTTGCCGTTGACAAACTTGCGTTTCGTCGCGGCGATGTCGTTACCTCGGGCCCTCGTGCCAAGGGACTTGTATAGTTACTTTTCACTACGCCCTTTTCACGAGCCTAATCTAATAAGTATAATGTTGCGTAGAGGTAACGGTAAGCAAAAGTAATAATAAAATTACTTTTAATCGCAAATAATCAGGTAATCGTGCCTTATTTCATTTCTCCTTTGTCATTCTCGGATTTCTTTCCATTTTACACATTCATCGTCAAATCAATTATTATTCTTATTACTTCGATTTTACGCTCTACCATTCATTTCTACGTCTTATCCAATTTACGTATAAATACTTGTAACATTCTTAACCTATTCTCTGAGAAATATTATAGAGCTTAGATTAATT